ACAGCAAGTATGGACGCGTGCTGTTAATATACTCAGTGAGCAAACGGATTTAATATCACGTGCTGAGTGGATTCTCCTTGGCCCGGAGGCTGTTCGGGGCCTGGCCGAGACCCTGCATAGAAGGATGACGACATCAAGCAAACAGACAAACAAACAAACATTGAAAATTTTTCAACAGCTACGGGACTAGCTGTCAATAGAGGGGGGGGTAGTGTAACGGTTCGAGTACACACTGAACTAACATCCGAAAGGGATCCGAACATGGGCACGCACTAGCCGAGGGCAGATCTGCTGATATAAAACCCCACCTTCTCCATACCGTAGCTCGATAGATTTTTGATATCCTTTCGTACAAGGCCTATAGGTGTCTATTCGAATTAAGGCTCGTTTGATGTCCCACGCACTCCCATATGCCTCTGAGTGACACTACCGCCGATACTGATCCGAGTAGTCTTGCCTGCGCCGTTACATATATAGGAAACGGAATTTCTTGGATTTATTATATTAACTAAAGGAGTGAAAATAAACCTAAAGAAGATATAGACTGTATAGGAATGGCTAATACCTAAAATAGTTAAGGATATTTAATCCTTCTTAGGATTTGCAAATTACTATCAAAAGTTTATTAGAGATTACTTAAAGATTATAGCACCCCTTATAGAAGTGATAAAAAAGAAAATAGGTTTTAAATAAGAATAGAAACATTAAGAGGCATTTAATTAAATTAAGCAGATATTCCTGGAGGCGCCAGTACTCGAGATGTACAGCCCTTAACGACCTACTAGAGTTAAGACCAACGCGTCTAACTATGCACTTAGAGCTGTATTGTCACAGCAGTGCCCAGATAGGAAATAGAGACTAGTGTTCTACTATTCACGGAAGTTCTCTAGAGTAGAACTTAACTATAATGTTCATAATAAGGAACTACTTAGAGTAGTCGATGCCTTTAAATAATAGGAAGTGTACCTACTAGGACTCTCTGAATAGATCGAGGTTTTTACTAATTACTAGAACTTGACGAGTTTTATAACAATAAAAAAACTTAACTAATAATAAGTATGATAGGCAGAGATGCTAGCCTAGTTCGACTTTAAGATTACGTACCGCGCAGGGACGCTTAACGGAGTAGCGGACGCTTTAAGTAGAAGGTCTAATTTGCGCGAAGAGGGTTATAAAGAACTATATAACGCCTTACTTAAGATGATGCCCGATGGTAGTCTGAAGTATAACTAGCTGGAACTAGCTAAGGTAGCTAAGGTGGCTAAGTAGGTAGAAACACTATAGAAATAATAGCAGGAAAAGGTAACGCTATGGGCGTTAGAAACGGACCCCTACTTGCTGGAAGTAATAAACGATAAGAAAGAGCTTAAAGCTCTAAGAGAATGTATAAGCACGTATATACCTCTATATATAAGAACCGAACTTATTAAGACCTTGTACGAGTCCCTAGAATATAGACACGCAGGTGTGGACGAAATGGTTAGACGACTAGCTAAGGTGTTTGTAATACCACGCTTGCGAGCGAAGGTGCAGGAAATACTAGATAACTATTTGGTATGTCACTAGAATAAGCCTAAGAGATATAAGCCCTACGGCCTATTATAACCTCTATAGCTACTATCTAGACTATGGACAAGCGTAACGATGGACTTTATAGTAAAGCTCTTAAGATCGTTAGAACTAGGATTAGCTTAATTTTGCGATATAATTCTAGTAATCGTAGACTGACTGACTAAGGCAGTAAAATTTGTGCCTATAGAAGAGACTATTACGGTAGATGAATGCGCGTATAAGGTTACAAAGGCACTAGTGTTAGAGTATAAGATACCTAAAGAGTTTATTACCGATCGTAATAAACTGTTTACGTCTAAATACTAGAGTATATTTCTAGCAAAGTTAGGTGTTAAGAAGAAGCTTTTAATAAGCTTTTACTTAGAAACAGACGGCTAGACGGAACGCACGAACTAGACATTAGAATAGTACCTATGGATGTACGCTAACAAATTGTAGAACAACTAGGTAGAGTTACTACTAACAGCGTAATTGGCCTATAATAGTATAAAATTAGCAACGATAAAGTATTCGCCACACTACGCGAACTACGGATATAAGCTGACTGCTTACTGAGATCTGAAGGATATCGAAAGTATCGCGGTAGAAGTAGACGATAAGGCGAAGCTTATACGAGAATTGTATAAAGAATTAAGTAGGAATATAGCCTAATAAAACCTTATAATATCTAAAGCAGCGAATAAACTAAGGATTAAGGGACTAATCTTTAAGAAGGGGGATAAAGTTTTCTTATTAAGATAAAACCTGAAAACTAAACGACTATGTAGAAAATTAGACAACCTCCGAATAGGACTATTTGAAATCCTAGAGGAAATAGGAAAAGTAAACTATAAGTTAAAACTCCTATAAGGTATACGAATCCACCCTGTCTTTTATAAGAAACTCCTGGAACTAGCACCTTTAGATACTGAGCTAGTAATGAATATAGAGCTTGAAGATGATGAGTATGAGGTTGAGGAAATTAAGAACCTGCGAAAAATCGGTAGTTAGTAGAAGTACTTAGTTAAGTAGTAAGGATGGCCTAAAAGCTATAATACTTAGGAACCTGAAGGAAACCTGACGAACTGTAAGTTACTGGTACGTAAATACTACTAGAAGCACCCGGAGAAGCGAGGGGAAGCCTTTTAAAAAGGAAGGAGTAATTAAAGGAAGGATTAAAGGAATTAGCCTGTAACTAGCCCAGATTAGTCGATAACTTAGATAGCGGTGGTTCGATAATAGGAAGGCCCGTACTGCTAGGGGCTAAGCTCCTCTCGGCCTGCTCTTTCGTACGATTCTATAGACTTAAGATGGTATAGTTACGATCGGCGTACGACCGCTTAAGGGCCTTAGTCTTAGTAACCTCTAGACGAAGACGCGTAACTTCGGCCTCAGCCCGCAGAAGAGCTAACTATTTTTGACGCTTGTCTGCTTCTACCTTTTTCTACTCCTCCTTAGTCACGAACAAGCTATAATTAGCTTTTATAGAAATACAACCGGTATAACGCCCCGTAGCGGTGTCTACGAAATAATAAAGGCCCTTCTCTTTATAATATTTATAACGAAAAGTTATTTCGTTTTCCTGTAATTGAATACGGTCAGCACGAGCCTAGCGCTGTCGAGTTAAGTTCTTAGGACGAACGCGATAGGAAGACTGGACCTTGGGTATGGTTAGGAAGGCTATGAGGTAGAGACGGCTACAACGAGTGGGCGGGCTCTGACCTTATATGCAGCCGGCGTCTCAACACGCGGTATGGGAAAATAATATTCTAGGGTATTAAGACGATAGCCCTAAGAGGGGAGGTAATGTTACAAGTAATAAGAAGGACTCTCTCCTTAACAAATGACGAGATGGCTGAAGGCCTAAGGACGTCCACGTCAGAAGGTAATGATCAACGCGGGGCGTCGATCACGTGACTTGGCATCCCGCTAAGGTATGGCCTCTGGGAGGCCACCGCATAAAGGGAAGCTAATGTTCTCCTAAACCTCCCGCTAAGATGGGATGTCGGGAGGACAGGACAGGAAGCAATGAGGATATAAGGATGGATGGATTTCATTATTTACTCTCGTTGTGGTCAACTCAAATTGTACTTTCTTACTAGTATCTTTACTTAACAAGATTGTCATAAGTTAGTCTATCAAATAGATTAGTCTTGTTAAACCCTCCTTAAGCACGCCAACTCCACTGCATCGCCAGACAAGCCTCACGGAATACTAACGTAATACTCACCTGCCTTAGTGCGGACCAGGATAGAGAAGTATAGACCCATACCCCGTGTAACAATAGGTACGTTATCTTATATAAAACGCTGCCTAACTCTATAGTTAGGTAATAGGCCTTCCTCTAAAGCTTAGATATAGCTAGTAGAGCTATATCTATACCGTTAGGCGGATATATTATAGATTATAATTACTAGAGGACTGCGCTAAATTTAACCACCTCTATATAGCTAAATCGCGCCCTAAACTATATAGGCGGGCTGCTAGGCAGTAGAGACTGCGTCTATTATCTCGCGCTTCTATTTCTATATAGGTAGTCGCTATATCTAAGGTATATTACGGCTAGATCCACGAGGGATACTATACTTATTACTAAAGATTAAAGTATCGTAGTAAAATGTAAACGTACGCTAGTTATTAGCCTAAATAAGACGCTATTACGCTACTACTATACTAATTTTTAGTCAACGAGTAGCTCTAAACTTATATAGGCCTTTATCAGCCAGCGTACGTTATATTATACGCTGTTGTAACGACGTTACAACTTTGCCAAGTATCGGACCAATCCCAGAGCCGGATCGGAGGTAGTATTCGCCGCCCTCTTCATCAACCACTCGTTGTGAGGTCGGATCCGATTCGGATCCGACTAAGATAAGTATATAAGGAGACACTCCCTATAGCTAGCTCTGTAGACTTTTAATATCCTTTCGTACAAGGCCTATAGGTGTCTATTCGAATCAAGGCTTGTTTAATGTCCCACGCACTCCTATATGCCTCTGAGTGACACTACCGCCGATACTGATCCGAGTAGTCTTGCCTGCGCCGTTACAGCTGTAATACTTCTTTAACTCTAGCCTTACGTATTAGATTAGCGTACTTAATAGATAGATTTCTTTTTACTATTTATAATAGTCGGCGGTAATCGCGAGGTAATAGTATTAATTTAGAGCCTAGCCGCGGTAGTAGTATTTCTATCGTAATATTATTTTTTAGATACAGCGTTACGTGCAGCTAAGCGCGTTAGTAATTTTAGCTATTAATAAACTACCTTTAAACTACGCGATAGCGTAAGTGCGTTAGGCTTTAGATAACTCACATCCGCGCATTTAATTATACGAAATTTCAGCAGAAAAAGAGCTTATATTGGTGTAGTTACATGGTGTTGAAGAAGTGGTGGATCTGAGCTGATCGCGTTGGTGTTGCGAGGCTCGTGCTTACGCGAACAGATCGCTGTCCTAGTACTGTATATGCAACACAAGGGTTTCGCTGACGCTCACCCGAATCATTTTACTTTGTACTTTGACTGCAAAGTCAGTTTTTCTGATACCCGATTCTGACAGGTTGGGGTGTGGCCTGTCATTCCTTTCCCAGATAAATGATCTGATAAGCTATATAGCAAACTGTTGTAGCTAGGAGAACTTCGAACAAATGGGAATTTATTTGAGATGATGGGCCGATCAATCTGCTGATCTAGATCAATGGAACAATCAGACTATATACTATCAATCTAAGTCTAACTCTATCCGGTGAACTATCCCAGCCTTCATCTGATCGACCATTCCTCCATATGATAAGATCAGATGGTTCAAAAAGATCGGACGGATCATGTGATCCGGATCAGTCTGATTCAGATCAGGCTGACCTTTTGGTACTGGGACACAAACAGAGATAAAAAAGTCAAGCCATATATCCAAAACATTTGTTACTCGGCCTCATAGTCACACAAAAACTGATCGGGTCATTGAGGGTATCAATGGTATGATTGTGCTGTCTTGCAGGGAAAGATGAAAAGTAAAGTGCTCAGACAGCTGTAGGCAAGTTATGGGATCAATATTGATTTTGAAGGATTGCTGCCTCCATCACACAAACACAGCAGTCTCACATGCTAACATCCTTCAAAATCGTCTCCACCCGTGCGAACGAGAGCTCTTCCATGGTTTCATTCCAGAGCTGGTCTCTAATATCCTGTCCCTCAAACGAATAAACAAGCGGAGCCATGCTGTAGATTGTCGTCAGCGAATGAAAAAACAATTAGACCCGATAAAACGCCCAGGATACTTTTCAAGATGACTTACGGAACCATTTTTTGGAAGGAGAAGAATTCTCCATGGGTTTCTTTGCCATGCTTCACAGCAGCATCGACCACGGTTCGCGAACCGATAGCAGACGAGTAGTAGATACGTCGCAGAACCGACTTTCCGATAGCTGCGATGATGCCCTTCTCGTGCTCCTTACCGAATTCAGTGTCGTGCAGCCCTGCGGGCGAGGCTGAATTAATTATGGCAACAGTCGTAGGCACCAGCTTCGCGAGCTTAGCTAAGAAGAGTTGGCCGAGCAATTTTGAAACCATCATCCGGTCCAGCAGATTGATGTTGCCCGGCTTGTCCAGGGCAGAGAGTAAGGGACGCTCACTCCTCTCCTTGAAACTTGTCCAAGCGGACACTTCGGAAGACACAAGGGTGATTCGGGCTGGCTGGCTTCTGTCCTTGGTCTTGCAAACAGGGAGGAGTAGGATGATCAATAAGGCTGTAGACAAGTAGTTCACTTGGATCATCTCATCGTGCTTGGTACGTTCGTTGAAGGTGCGACTGGCCGGGAAGATACCGACGCTAAGAATGACTATATCGAGACGTTCCAAGCTCTTGGTACGTTCGACGAATGAGACGACCGAGCTGTAGTCAGAAAAGTCAACAAGCCAAACTTCGATCGCCTTGGCATCAAGTGTACGACTCTGGGACAGCTTAGCCAGAGCAGCTTTGCCTTTTTCCTCACTGCGGACTGCGAGGATGAGCTTGCTGAGCCCAAGATCTAAAAGCTGACGACTAGACTCAAAACCAACACCCGAATTGGCGCCGGTAACGATTGCCGTCTTGCCTCGGAGATCAGCATCGCGAACCTCGGTAGGCGTGACAGTGAGTTGATTGTAGAAGAAACGCGCTAGGCTTGCCTGCTTCTCGGGGGTGATATCGTATTGATGGTTAGCAAACATGCTTGCGAAGTGCTTGAGGATCCTGATAGAGAGAGCAGAAGACGAAGAGAAAGAAGGGAGTTATACGATTTTCCGGATTCGCGAGAGGAAGGATTTACGGCACAAACAATAATGGGTATATCTGGGCACGGAAACAAGGACAAAGGCCAGCATAGACGAGGACCAACACGAACACGGACCACCAACAACAAGGATCAACAGGAACACAGGCCAATTGGCTGAACAAGTTTCTTGGGATATTCAGACGAATGCGGAGTGTCTAGCTTGTTGAGGTGCCGATAAGGACATGCTGTAATGTACTCCCTGCCCTCGCTGGAGAGAACATCCTCCATTGTAAGTCACATATGTGGA